ACCAACAATTACTAATTATTACCAATGGGATCAGTAAGGACTTTAATTTATCTGGGCTTGCTTTCCCACTAGTCTGTGAAATCCCTAAGAACCGGGACCATGACTGGTTCACCAGTGTGTCCAAAGCTGAACTCATTATCTCTGGCCTCAAGCAAAGTCCCATGCAGGGCTCCATGCCCACCAGAAAAACCCAATGGTCTAACCCTGGCCCATCCTTCTTCAGAACTGCCTAACCCACTAGGCTTCCAGGAGGCCACCCAGAAGATCAATTTCCTATTCAGATCTGTGTCCCCAAACCAGTAAATGACACTACCATCTCTCCCCTACCCTGGGCCCCCTCCCTCGTCCTTACCCTGCACTGCCAACATGGAACCAGATAAGAATTCGTTCTTCTTCCCATATCTTTCTCCAACCACCCCCTCCTATGGCCTCTCCTCTCTCACTGGATGCCTGTAGAAGCCACTTCCTCATTTTTTTACCTTGAGTCTCCTCTTCCCCCAAAATCTGAAGAATATTTCTAAAACACACATCTAATCATTTTGTCCCCCTGCTTAAAATCCTTGTGTGGCTTCCCATTGACTTAGAACAGAGTCCAAACTCGCCCCAGGTCCCATACGGTCCACCAGGTCTGACTCTGGCTGATGGCTCCAGCCTCATCTGGGGACATGGCCCTGGAGTCCTACGTGCTAAGTGCACTCAACCATATGCTCCACGGACCCCTGCCCTTTATCCAAGCTGATGGCTCTGCCAGAATGCTTCCTAACCTTTCATGGAAATCCATACCTAGCCCTCTAGCAGCTCCCCTGAACCTCCAAGCTTGAATCAGGGGCCATTTGTGGGCTCCTATACACACCTGTGCCCCCAATTCTTCGCCCTTTGGCCTGTGCCTCCCCCATCCAGCCAGGGCCCCTTGGCCTGGGCCTTCTCATTCCAGCACTGTCTGTTTTGAGCTGTCACTGCCTGCTCACTGGAGTGTCTCCCTCTCTGGAGTGAGGGCTCCAGGAGGGCCGGGCCCAGGGCTGTCTTGGGTACCCCTGTGTCCTCAGCATCTCTCAGCACAGGCTGGCAAGTAGCAGTGCATTTGGTGGGCTTTAGTCAAACTCTGTTTGAATTTGTTAAATTTATTGAATGGTTAGAAATGTGGTGGTAAGGCCGTGGGAAAGAAATTTTCAGAGAGGATATTTAAGTCAATCCAAAGGGGAGTGACCTACCTCAGAATGCTCTCAGGACACACCTGTGATCTGGAGGTTTTTTAAAACTAGTGTGACCATTTAATACTCAGGCTGGTAATACCCTGAGAAATAAGGGAGCTAGTTCTTTTGTAAGAAAGGAACTGGAGCTGGGCCAGGGCTATGTGAATCCAAACAGATTTCAGACACGTGTATACAAGGTGGCCCATGTGCCCACATCCTGCACCAGAATGCACACGCAAAAACACCCACACACTCATGCACAGCACCAGATATGCACGCACACCCGCAGATGTGAATACACAGTCATGCATCAGGAAGGACACAGAGACACACATGCAGATATCCCCCAACAGGCATATCCCAAAGTGAGTACTCATGTTTCCCACAGACTGGGGTGGTGGGAATCTGTGTTGTGGTGAATCTCAGATGCTGCAATTGGCATGCATCGAGGGATACCAGCACGGACACTCACAAACCCTGTTGAGCATTCACACAGATGTGCATGTATAGACATAAACAGGTATGGATGTCCACTTATGCACAAACACACCCTCGACAAAGACAGGCGTATGCATGCATTCATATGTCTATGTGGACATGCTGAAACATACATAGAAGAGACGTTCAGAGACACCCCAAGCACGCACCCAGCGTGACGACATACACAGATATAAACTTAAGGGGAAACATGGCAGAGGTCTTGAGCAGAACCCACTGGACAAAAGGTCACAAGACATAAAGATGGAGAAGCACATGACAAGGTGGAGGGCAGGCTGACTTGCAGGGAAGGAGAAGGATCAAGACAGACTCAGAAACAAGGGGCAGAGGTGGAGAAAGAGAGATGGGCAAAGTCCATGCAGGGCTCCATGCCCACCAGAACAACCCAAGGGTCTAAGCCTGGCCCGTCCTTCTTCAGAACCGCCTAACCCACCACGCTTCCAGGAGGCCACCCAGAAGATCCATTTCCTGTTCAGAGTTCCAGGGCTCAGGCTCAGCTGTGCTGAGGGAGGACTGTTAGAGAACCCCTTATCCATCTCCTTCATCCTGCCATTAATAACAAGAACAGCTAATGTTTACGGAACACTTACTGCCACGAACTTCACATGTATTCAACCAATGACTGCTCACCAAAATACATTAACGAGTAGGTACTATCATTGGCCCCATTTATGCTGAGAGAGGTGAGATTACCCGTCCAAGGTCACACAACAAAGAGAGGGATAAGGGAATCTAATCCATGCTTAATCCTGCTCTTACTGGCTGTACCAGTGTCCACAAAAGGAAACTGAGGCCCAGCAAGGGAAGGGATTTTCCTGGGCTCTAGAAGCCAATACTCGGCCACCGCACCCCGGCACGTGTCCCGCCTCTGGGAGGTAAGGCGTGTGCTGACGGACACTGATCTCTCCCTCCGCGTTCCCGGGCCACGAACAGGGCCAAACCCCCGGGACCTCTCTGTCCCCAAGGACTTCTTCCAGTTTAGCCCCGCCCGCCCCCTTCAAGCCCAGCTCGTGGCAGCCTGTCTGACACTCAGCGCACTTTCTGGTGCCAACCTCACTGAGAAACAAACCCCTCAGACATCTACCTCCCTCCTGGTGAAGGAACACGGGGAAGAGGAGGGGCGCAGGGTGCACCCGGCCCAGGTGCAGGCTGGTGACAGGGATTAGGGGGGCTGAGACCTGCAGGGCCTGTGCTAATCCCCCTTCCGTCCTCTTCCCCTTCCAAGACTAACAAACAACCTGCCTCCCTCTGCTTTCTTCTCTGCCTGTGCTCCCTCCCCACAGGGACTTGGAGCTCAGCAGCCTGGATCGCTCTGAGCAAGAGGCCAGTCCCGAGAGTGCCAGCCTCACCCGCCTGCACTCGCCCAGGGTGAGAGGCGGCACGTGAGCAGCGGGGTCCAGCCATCAGAGCCCGCCCAAAGCCCATCGTGGTCCCCCTCAGGCCATCATAGGACCTGTCTCAGCATCGGCCTGGGGCCCCTGTCAGAGCTGCTGGGACCAGCCTCACAGCCCACGTGCTGCCACCCTTATGCCCTCGGGACAAGACTCAAAGCCACCTGGGCCAAGGCTCAGAGCCTTCTTGGCACCAGAGGTGCCTCTATTAATGTTCTCCTTTATCAAGGTCAGTGGCAACTGGCGTTCAATCCTACTATTGACCCGGGGGCAAGCTCAGTGCCAACAGGACGCCCCTCCCGCCCCGGGCCTGCCTGATGTGAGAGCAGAACCTGCCAGTTAGTGCCCGTGTCCAGTGCTGATACCGTTCTCAGCACCCACCTGTTGCTAAACTTGGCCTCTGGGCCCTCAGGGTGGGTGAGGCCAGTGAATGGGGGGGAAGGGAGGGGGTTCAAGCCCCAGCTCCCTCACTTACTACCCGTCTGGCCTGGAGCAAGTGGCTTTAGGGAGTCTCTGTCTTCTGAACCACAAAGTGAGGATAATAATGATCCAGCCCCACCTCTAGAGACTAGATACGATCAGGCAGACATAGACTTGACCTTTACAATGAGTGCTCACCAACGGGAAGCGCCTTCACTGAGGCAGAATGCCAGGGACGGCAGAGCAGGACAGCAGGGCCACTCACGTTCCTCGGCTCCGCTGTCAGCACCCCAGGGCCCATGTCTGTTCCTGACACTGCAGTTTACCCAGCTTTCTCCTGCTATAGCTCCCTGTGCCCGCTGGCAGCAGCCCTGACAAGCCAGGAATCCCGCCTGAAGGGAACTTCACGCGCCTGCAGTTATGACGTTGTCTTCCCAAATGCTCCCTTTCCGTGGTGGGGAGACGCGGCCCCAGGAAGGGGGAGTATGGGTAACAGACCAGGACAGACGGGAGCCCACCGGTGCCCCTGCCACTCTGTTTTCTGCCCTCCATATACCCATGCATAAATGGGAAATACTAGTAATAACAATAATGAACGAAATGATACAATCACCATACCAAGCTCTCCTAAGGATTCAGGTAGGAGGCCAATGGGGCTTTCTGCAAATGATGACTCTTGAGACGGCTGAAATTTCGGACACCACACTGGGGGTTATCATTACTATGCCCCAGTCGTGCCCAGTCCTCTGCCAACTGCGACCCTGAGAATCTTCTGTTCTGTGGAAAGTTCCACTTGAATGTGACTCTGGACTTCTACCCCTTTCCCAAAATGGATTGGCAGTTCTGTGACATGAATCCTGGCTTTGCTTTGAAGTTTAAAAGAGGATTCTGGACATCAAGAGGAAGCGGTGTGTCCAAACAAAAACGTGACAGCCCCTTCGGTCATGTGCTGACTCATGAGTCTCCACGTGCTTCTCCTCCCAGAGACCCACACTCACAGCCCAGGGGCCTTCCTCACCCGAGACCCTCAGACCCAGTCCCTGGACTCTTCCCTCCTGAGGCCCTGACCCCTGCATCCTTCCTCAGTAAAGACCCCCAAATCCGCATCCTGTATCATTCCATACACATAAATCTAGACCTCTGGATTCTTATTTCTCAACACCCCAAAAACACAACTTTTGGGTTCCTTCTCACTGTGAGACCCCAATATAAAGTTCAGAAACTCCCACTTGCAATTCCTCTACAATGCTCAGTTCTGGAATTTGCCAACTGCCACCCCCCCCAACGTCCACAGCACTTGGGAGCCCCCTCCTGCAGGGCCACAGAGTCAGTCTTGGAGCCACTCCTGTTGATCTGCCCTGGTGTCCCCTCCTCCTCCCCTGCTCGCTGTGTCCTCAGCTAGGCAGGGAGCATGGCTGGGGGTGTAGTCAGGAGGGGAAATTACACAGTTATATAATCTGGACCAAAGTCCGTCCTCTCCCAGGTGGTATAAAGGCAAACCATCCCAGCCATCACCATCTCACTGCCACCCTCAGTGCCACCATGCTGGCCTCGGGGCTGCTTCTGGTGGCTTTGCTTGCCTGCCTGACTGTCCTGGTCTTGATGTCTGCCTGGAGGCAGAGGAAGGTCTGGGGGAAGATGCCTCCCGGGCCCACCCCACTGCCCTTCATCGGGAACTACCTGCAGCTGAACACAGAGCAGATGTACAACTCGCTCATGAAGGTGTCAGGAGGCAGGGAGATGGGTGCACTGCGGGGGGCGGGGGACTGCTCAGTGTGGTGGGGACTTTGTGGCAGGGACTTGGGTGGACCAGAGTCTTCGGAAAGGGGAGTTCTGAAGGCTCAGCAGCAGGGTCCTTGCCAGGACAGACCAGCTCCTGGGGTGTCCTGTCCCTTGACTGTCAAACCTGGGGGAAATGCATCCAGTACCTGCGGACTGGGCAGAGGCCGGTGCCCAGCAGGGGCTGCTCCCTGTAACCACACAACCCACCTCCATCAGATCAGCGAGCGCTACGGTCCGGTGTTCACCGTCCACCTGGGGCCCCGGCGGATCGTGGTGCTGTGTGGACACGAGGCTGTGAAGGAGGCGCTGGTGGACCAGGCTGAGGAATTCAGTGGGAGGGGCGAGCAGGCAACGTTTGACTGGCTCTTCAAAGGCTACGGTAAGGGGGACTGGGGTGAGGGTGTGGGGGTTCTGGTCAGGGACGTTTGAGGGCTGGTTTGCCCAGCGATCCTCTCCTGACCCCTGCCCGCTCCGGGCAGTGGCACACACCTTGCTGCACCTTCTCTGTCCCATCCTGTCGAACCTGACTGGACTCTCTGTGTCTCTAGTTCTCGCTGGTTCTCGGTCCAATGTCCCTGTTCTTTCTCACTAGGTGAATCTTTGAATCTCTTACAAGTTCTGCCTGGGAACCCTGGGCCATTATGTCTACTTGCGTCCGTCTTAGCTTTTTCTCCTTCACTTGTCCCGTTTTAGAATCTGACATTATTTCTGCGTCCTAATCCCCATGCCACCATCTCCTGGTAACAGTCTCTCATCTCCACAACCCCTGTGTTCTCTCTTCCTATTTTTCAATCCATGCCATCTCAGTTTTAGAATCCTTTACCTTTTTATATCCATTCCCAGATCCGCACATAGCTCACTTTCCCCTCTCTCCGCCTCCATCTCTGTCTACCCGAGTGTCCCTGTGTTTGTTTGTCTGCGCATGTCCTGCTTCTCTCCTGATTCTTTTCTCCCAGCAGGGCATCTCTCTCCTTCGGTGTTGCTTCTCTGGTGTGTCTCTCTTTGTCCTCCCCGCGGCCTTGCATTATACCCACCTTCTCCAGCTCCCCGCTCTCGGCCCACCTCCCCTCCCTCTGCCCCCGCCCCTCGGGGCCCCTCCCCATCTTACTCTCCCTCCGCAGGCGTGGCTTTCAGCAACGGGGAGCGCGCTAAACAGCTCCGGCGCTTCTCCATCACCACGCTGCGCGACTTCGGCGTGGGCAAGCGCGGCATCGAGGAGCGCATCCAGGAAGAGGCGGGCTTCCTCGTCGAAGCCCTCCGGGGCACGCGCGGTGAGCCGGGGACCCCGCACTGTGCGGCACCAGGAGGGATACAGCAGGGGCGGACCCGCGTTCTGGCCCCGGAAGGGACGGTTTTATGGGTGGGGGTCGGGCTCCCAGCTCTGGGCCCTGGGGCTGCACTTTGGGGCTGACCACCGACTGACTCACAGATCGCTGTCCCTCCGCGGCCCGCCCCTCCCCAGGCGCCTTCATCGATCCCACCTTCTTCCTGAGCCGAACTGTCTCCAACGTCATCAGTTCTATTGTCTTCGGGGACCGCTTTGACTACGAGGACAAAGAGTTCCTGTCCCTGCTGCGTATGATGCTGGGGAGCTTTCAGTTCACTGCGACATCCAGAGGGCAGGTAACCTGACCCACCTGGCTCTGCCCCGCCCCTGGCACACCTGCCAGCTGCTTCCTCACACGGAGACAGGTGCCCCAAACCTCAGCCCCTCCAGACGGGGTCCCCTCCAAACCAGTCCCCAGTCTTGGGGAACTGAACGGATGCACCAGACCCCAGACAGGTGCCCAATATCCAGTCTCCAAGGACACCTGGGTATCAGCAGATGCTCCCCCAGCCCAAGAAGATGGAGAGAGACAGAAAAAACAAACAAAACAAAACAAAAAACAACAAAACACAACAAAACAAGAGCCTGTGGGCAAGAGACACGTGCTCAGCCCAGCAAGCCTCTCACCTGGGCAGGTGCTCCCACCCTAACTTACCTTAAGATCTCACACGTACTCCCTGTTAATAGTCCATCTTTCCATCTGAGTTTCTTAACTCCCAGAGAAGTGACCACCTCAGTCCACCTCCTGAGAACCTTGTGCTGCTAAACGCAGCCCACCACAGTCGCTGGTAGCGCACAGGTGCCCCAAACCAGCCCACTGGAATATCCAGATAAGTGCCCACTACCCAGCACACTTAACGATCTCCTCATCTGGACAGGTACCACAACCAAGATCCCCCCACCTGGACAGACGGTTCCCCAAACACCTAGGATGTGTCTCCCAACCACCCAAACACCGACAGAGGTGACCCTAAGACTCATGTGAATATCAGAATACCCGAACACTTGAGTCCCTGCACTCCAGCCCCACATTAGGACCTGAACCCTATATGGATGCCCTCAAATCCACATACCCTAAATATCGGGACAGTAGTCTCCAGCTGAGCCCACCTGAATGTCTAAACACCTAGAAATGTGGTGGCCCCATTTCAGTCCAACCTGAATAGCTTGACACCTGGGCAGGTGTCGCCCTACCCAACCTCACACAAGTAGCTGTACACCTCCATGTGCTGCTCCCATCCAGCCTCCTCTAACATCAGAAACTGTGATGTGTGCCCCTATCCATCTCTCCTAAATCCTCGGACAGGGGCCCTCACACTAACCTCTTGTGGAAACTTAGGGATCTATTCCCACCTAGCCTCATCTAAATACCTAAACACCTGACAAGCGCCTGTATCTTAGTGTCTTTCTTGTCCTGGCCAGGTCCCACTCCCCAGGCGCCTGGCCACTGAAACTGTCCTTCATTCTCTCGTCTCTCCCCACCCTCAGCTCTACGAAATGTTCTACTCGGTGATGAACCACCTGCCAGGACCACAGCATCAGGCATTCAAGGAACTGCTGGGCCTGGAGGACTTCGTAACCAAGAAGGTGGAGGAGAACCAGCGCACACTGGACCCCAACTCCCCACGGCACTTCATCGACTCCTTCCTCATCCGCATGCGGGAGGTACACCCAGCGGCCAGGGCCCAGAGGTCCCAAGCCAGGCAGATGGAATTCGGGTGTGGGTGGAGAACAGCAGGGGTCTATTGAAATTACCCCCCTACCCACACACACCATAATAATCTGCGGAACCCCAGTGTAGCTAACCATCACTGTTCCACCTCCTGAGCCCTCCCGCCGGGTGGGGCGTGTGCGTGGGAGTCATAAGCACAGCACTTGTGCGCACTTCCCGGCAGCAGCGCTCCTTTAGTGCCTTGCCGTATTCACCTATTGCACACTCACAGCTCCTTCATGAGGCCCTATTAGGACCGCAGTTGTACAAATAAGCAAACGGAGGCCCAGAGAGTATCAGTGGGCTGAGTGAGGTCACACAGTGCGGAGGCAGGGGACCCCAGCTCAAACACAGCTCACCCGGACTCTGAGGCTGGTGCTTTTAGCTGCTGTGCTCTCTTACCTTTCATTTCCTATCAGATACACCTGTGCAGACAGGGGAACCAGCTTTAGTGTTGGAGGGTCCCCACCCTCTGGATGTCAGTCTTCCTTCTGTGAGGAAAGGAGTTGGGGCTTTATAGAGTCTAAGTTCAAGGTGAAACGATCTGGGGAAGGATTTCTCCATAGTAAGCTGCACGACTTCTAGTGAAGGGACAGAGTGCTGTAGCTTAAAATTCTTCACGTCTCTGCCTCATTCTGTTATGTCATCCCTGTCCCTCTTTTTCACTCACTGTGTCCCTCTTTCCCTCTCTTTCTTAATATTTCTACCACTGAACAGTCACAGCCGAAGCGGGCAGAAGAAGGTTCCCTCTGTCCAAGGCAGTCTGCGTCTAAGAGATTTGGGTCAATGGAAACCTCCCCTTTCCTCAAAGGGCCCTGACAGCCCTGAGGAGAGGAGACTCAGCCCGACATCCTCTCTCCCTGCAGGAGGGGAAGAATTCCAATGCAGAGTTCAACCTGAAGAACCTGGTGCTCACCACATTGAACCTTTTCTTTGCTGGCACCGAGACCGTCAGCACAACCCTGCGATATGGCTTCTTGCTGCTCATGAAGCACCCAGACGTGGAGGGTAAGGTTGGAGGGGCAGGAAAAGGGGGACATAAACCCTCTAAATTCCTGGGCCTCTGCAGTGTGTTCACCTGTCCGTGATATCCGGACCCTCAAACATGCCCCACTATCCAGCGACTAGGTGATATTTTGATACCCAGTTTCTCTAGCCTTCAAAATATTGAAAATACCTGAAGTGCTTGGTAAACAGCTGCTGTGCTGAGCCCACTGAGTGCCCACAGCCGGCTCACGATCCTTCCCCGAGACGCCTCCCTTACGCCTCCCCTGTGATTCTGGCAGGACCAGGTGAACAGGACCTGCACCCACAATGCACATGGCCAACGTCTGTGTTGAGTGGTCCACGTCCATGTCACACATAGATGTCATGCATGTCATAATCCCGTTGTACACATTTGGACTACCGTCCCTGCCCTGAGACCCCTAGATGCCTAAACACATTTTCCCTCCTCCCCCAGCCAAAGTCCATGAGGAGATTGACCGGGTCATTGGCAAGAACCGTCAGGCCAAGTTCGAGGACCGGGCCGAGATGCCCTACACAGACGCGGTGATCCACGAGATCCAAAGATTCGGAGACATGCTCCCCATGGGCGTGGCTCGCAGAGTCACCAAGGACACCAAGTTTCGGGACTTCTTCCTCCCTAAGGTGCAGGGCCGACCTGCCTAGAGGGACCTCCACCCACTTGTTGTGACCCAGCATCCCTCTCTCCTTACAGACTCTCCAGCCCTGGTCCCCCTCCCTCAGACAAAGGCTTCCCCAAACACCTGCCCCCTCCACCTTCCCACTCAGAGCTCCTGCTCCCGTGTCTCCCCCAGACCTCTTGCCTCCCGGAATATCAACCCCATTTCGCCAAGCTCCCTGCCTCAGGAGACACGAATATCATTTCTCCTGTCTCCTGCCCCAGGGTCACGGACTCATGTCCCCCAATCATCCTGCCTGGAGGGACATGAACCCCATGTGTCCCAAACATCCTGTCTCAGGGGACATGAACACCATCACCCCTGAACCCACTCCTTGGGAGACATGAACTGCATGTCCCCCAGCCCTTCTGTCCCTAGAGACACAGCGCCCATGTCCACAGACTACCCTTCTCAGGGGACACGAACCCCGTGCCTGCCAAACCCTGTGTTGGGACATCCATCTCCTCCCTCAGAGGACCCCACCCACATGCCTCCCCTTTCTCCTCTCCTGGGGCACAGTATTTCCCCTCCAACCTCACCCAGTGTGCTGTCAGCACACCCAACACCTCTCTTCCTTATGAACCCCTCACCTCCTCCCCACCAGGGCACCGAGGTGTTTCCTATGCTGGGCTCCGTGCTGAGAGACCCCAAGTTCTTCTCCAACCCCCAAGAATTCAAGCCCCAGCACTTCCTGGATGAGAAGGGGCAGTTTAAGAAGAGTGATGCTTTCGTACCCTTCTCCATAGGTAAGTGACCCCTGCCTGCTGCCAAGCGACCCCCGAACCCTCAGGGGCCTCCTTCATCCCAGGCCCCTCCAGCCTGGAAGTTCCTCTTACAATGTGCCCTGGAGCCAACCAGCTGCAGTCCACATGACCACTAAGTACCTGTGCCCAGACAGGAAGGGACGCTGGCATCCTTTTCAGAGAGGGGGTAAATCAGCACCCAGAGTAAAGTCACTTAAAACCTTCAGATTGCTGGGAAAGGAGACGACAGCACAATAGCCATATCTGAGTGTGTATTTGAGGAAAGGGTCATGTAAGGTTCCCACTGCCCCAGCCTAGTGGTGTGGCTCACGCCCATCCCACGGACGAGGGAAACTGAGACCTCGTCTCAGCGGGAGAGACCTCCCTGAAGGCTTCTCAGGCCCCCCTCCCCGGGGGGGAAGCGGCCGGGGTGGGTCGTGGGCGAGGCGGCAGGGATTACAGGCTGCGGCCGCCCCTCCCCCATCTCTTCAGGAAAGCGGAACTGTTTCGGAGAAGGCCTGGCCAGAATGGAGCTCTTTCTCTTCCTCACCACCATTATGCAGAACTTCCGCTTCAAGTCCCCGCAGTCGCCCCGGGACATCGACATCTCCCCCAAATGTGTGGGCTTTGCCACCATCCCGCGCACCTACACCATGAGCTTCCAGCCTCGCTGAGCCGGGGCGGGGCGACGGGGCGGCGGGCGGGGGGTGGGGGTGGGGTCAGGGCTAGTGGGAGGAGCAAGGGGAGGGCCGGGCACCGGGGGCGGGGCCAAGGGGCGGAGCACACTGGGCTCTGAGCATCGTCCTATGAACCCTTCGGAGGTGAGATGAGAGGAAGGAAACTCACTATACTGTGAACAAGAGGGAAATAACATACTATTTTTTGAGCAAATACTCTGTGTCATCTCTATGCTAAAAGCATTAAACGCTCACCTCACCGAATTCTCACAAACCTATGGAATGGGAAACAGCGTTTGAACCCCTTTTGCAGGTGATGGGGCTGAGGTTCAGCATGGTTAAGTCTCTAGTGGAGGTCCCACGGGACACAAGAGCTCTTAGCAAGGAGGGGAACACAGAACCGCGGGGGATGGCTATCCTTAGTCCCAGGGTCCTTAGGACAGATGCTTAAAATGAACCCCTTCCTCAAGTGAAATACACAAACTCAGTGTATTAGTATGCAATGTGAACAGCTCTATCTCCGGTTTTTTTCCAGAGCCCTGGCAGGCAGCTGGCCTGGCATCCCTACACACTTGTGCACACTCATGCACACTTTGGATGCCTGGGTATACTTGGGCCTCCACACCACCACCAGATAAGGCCACTCTGAACAGAGTCAAACATCTTAGTGAAATGGGTGGGAGAGAAAAACACTTTTAGAAATGCCAGGAGAACTGTGGTCACGGCATAGCCACATACGTGTGTTTGTGTGTGTGCACTTATATGATGAGCAGTGATGTCTCCTGATGTATGCATGAACTCATTTTGCTCTGAGTTTCTGAAGGTGAGGCTTCCTTTATTGGATCTGCCACCTGATGTAAATCTCAGCTAAGAGTCTGGGAATCACCTACTTGCCCTCAAATAACTTAGCATATGTTCTACCCTTCGAAGTGGCAACTTTAACCAGTGCACACTATGAACACTCCCATACACGAGACTTAGATCTTTGTCAAATCGAATGCTACACAGACCTCACCCCTTCAAAAGTTGCCACTCTTGAAGGACTGGCGGTTGAGAACCAGTGAGAGGATATCGAGGCCGAGAACCCTGCAAGTTTCATGACAGGTTCTGATTCACAAATTTCTCAATTTCTGATGTCTGTGTTTGGCAATGTGGGTTCCATGAATTGGCTGCTTCCTGCTCTGGAAGTGGGGGGCATATGGACTGATCCATAGGGTCACCCCCTTTATTTTCACACACACACATAATTTCACATCCAGTGTCAGAGTCAAACCTCATCCTTCTGTGTGCATGTCCCTTCAACAGGCATCTGGAACACTTGACTCAGGGAATCTTGGAAATGCGCAGTAACAAAACTGTCGAATCTTGGAACCACAGAGCCTAGAATTCAGAATCTCAGAATCTCACATTCCCAAAACCTTAAACTCAGAGCATTTGAAACACTGATGCTTGCAACTCTCTTGCTGAGAATTTTAGCATCAGAGGGACTCCTGTACACATCTTTGGAAACTGCATTCCCAGGCCCTCCAGTGGCAAACATCTGTTCAAGCTGCATGTCCCCTCTGAGAAAGCATCAAGGGAGGAGCACAGGGGCTGGAGCCAGCTGGGGTTCTGCCACTGAGGCTTGTCTCCATGAGAAGATGGAGTGGCTAGCAGGTGTTTTCCCTGCCTGGAGGGAGAGCAGAGGGAAGAGAGAACAAGAGGAATGCCCATATCCTCAAACTTGCATCTGGAAAGGAGAAAGCAGGCGTCCATCAAGTCCTTGCCAAAGGCGCTGAGAGAAGTCCCATTCTGGCTGCCAATGCCTGGGTCACACTTGTTCAGTCAGGACACTCAGCTTGGAGTCTGGAAGTGCCAACAACCCAACCCAGCAAAGGGACAGTATTGGGATGGAGACGGGAACAGGAGCCCTCGGTTCTGGCCCGCACCCTGCTGCTCACTCCTTGGGCTTTCTTGAGCCTTTCTCTGGCCTCAGTTTCTCATCTGCCTCCTTCCCCATGGGAATTATGTGAAGGCCAATACCTCGCCTAGTGCTGAGGTCTATTTAAGGACTATTGAGGCTGCAGGAATGCGAGGATGAGAGTGATGTTTCTGGGTAGCTCATTTTCCCCCACTCTCAGCTCCACACCCAGAGTCCCTAGAGTTACACACATACACATACACACACACGCACATGTGTTCTCAAAAAGACAACAGCAAGTAGCATCCCAGAGTCTACAAAAAAAAAAAAACTAATAAATGAGTTTAACAAGATCATTTAAGTCACAGCAAATTTTTTTTCTATATACTAGCAATGAACCCTAGAAATCAAAATTTAAAACAGTAACACTCAAAAAATGAAATAATTTGGCAGACAATGGAATTAGATGATGAAAATTGAGAAACTTGTGAGTCAGAGTCTGTCATGAAACTTACAGGGTTCATGAACCAGATATCCTCTCATTAGGTCTCGATCACTGGCCCTTTAAGAGTGGCAAGTTAATTTAGAGGGATGGGCTCTGTGTACATTTAATTTAAGAAACACTAAATTCTAAGTTTGATGTGTAGGAGTGTGCAGAGTGTGCACTGCTCAAAGATGCCGATTCTAAGGGAACGCATGCTAAATTATTTGAGGGTAAGTAGGTCATTCCCAGACCTGCTCTGATTTACAGGAGATCGTACATCAGTCTCACCTTTAGAAACTCATAGCAAAATGAATTCATGCAGATTGGAGGGGATTAGGATGGCAGAGTAGGAAGGCAAGCTGGAAACCTTCCACACATACACCAAGGAAGGACCTACAGCAAATATAATTAAACTTGACAATGACTTGAAGACTACAGAACAGAACACCTACACCTGGGGAAGAAGAAAAGACCACAAAGAAAAGTGTAACGTGGCAGAGACTTGACTAAATGGGACTGTGGGTAAAATTGTAATATTTCTAGAATATCTTGCCTGGTTTTAGTATATCTGCATATCAATAGGCGTTCAGAGGTGGAAAGAAGTATGGCTTTAGTTCATTTGCATACCCTCAGGACAGAAGTTCATCTCCATATCAATGGGTAATTGAACTTATGCAAATAAACATACTGCCACGAAACATAAAAATAGTCACTGAGAGTTTTTAAATTCTGGAGGGATCAGGTAGAGAGAAAGATAAATGTTTCAATTCTGCTTATTAAGACGGTCATTTACTAAACTGTTGTCAGCTTAAGAGAACAAGCTTAAAACACTTTATCAACAACATTTGAAACAAAAAGCCACAAAATCATCTTCCTTAGTTTACTTAATCCTATGTAACCAATACTTGTTCTGCTGCAATCTAGTTCTTTACTAGTTTAGGAGTAATAAAACAGTGACTATAAAATGACAAAAGACTTACAAATGCCAATGGTTAAAGATCTGATGAGAGCTTACTGTAAGACAGTTGACATAAGGAAATTCTGGTATTTCTGTAACAAAACATTCAGTAACAAAGTTCAGCGTCATTCTCTTTGACAGTGCTTTCCAGGTAATTAAGCAGGTATTTATATAAGCCAAATTAGCCAAATACTTTCTCCAATGAGAAAAAATTCCTCTGACATGTTCCAGGGGCCCTCTGGAAATACCAGAGTTAACTATTAGAACTTAAAACTATTAGGTACCTTACTGAGAAGCAGGCTATTGTAAACTGTTACACTAGCATTCTTTAGATTGACAAATTTATGAACATTTTATAATTTCTGTAACTATGAGCTTTACAACACAATTTCTCACTAAGCACAAAGTATATCTTTTTAACTTAGTAAAACTAAGGTTTTAGGTTACCACAAAGATTCTCAGGCTATAGGTAGGTATACACACTGTAACACACAATTACTATTAAGTTCACTGGCTACATTTAGTTTATTCATTCTTAACAACTATGCTAGACTACTTACAAAATCTTTACTGAATATTAGACAAAGTCAAGCCTCTAAGATTTTATTCTTGAAAGATTGAGCAGGTAACATCAACTTAAATAACTTTAGGTAAACTTAGGCAGCTGATAACCATAAGGACATGTCCATTTCAGTTCAACTTAAATTAGCGTTAATGCTTAATATTTTCTATTAGAATTTTCTGGAAATTTTAGAATGCCCAGTTTTCACAAGCACTTGTCTTTAAATCAATTTCATTAATACTGAAGGGCCCCCACCAGTAAGATGGCAAACTTCCGGCTTCTCTTGGGGGGGGTCCTCAGTTCCGCCGGCGCCACCTGAAGCCCAATCACCTCTCGCCCCCCTCCCAATCCCGGCACCTAGCCAACAGCCACCAGCCCCGTNAACCTGGTGCCCATGGACTATATCCAGCATTCCCAGAGCCCACTCCCTATCTCAAGACATCAAGCCTTCCTCAGGAGAGAGTCCTGGGCCACACCTCAGACCCTGGCTCATACATCTCAGCTTGAAACAGCCCGTGGGACCCCAGACTCCAGCCCCCTCAATGGTCTGCTCAGATCCCATGTTCCTTCCTCATCTCAGGACCCCAAGGACTCCAGTCCTAGAGAATGTGAGCTTTGCTTCTGGGAGGCCTATCTAGGTCCCCAAGCCACTGATTTCCACCTCCCCCGTAACAGGGTACACATATTATCACCTTCCCAAGCACTGTCCACCATGATCCCTGTCAGTTTTGACACTCTGAGCACTTTCTGGATGTGTCAGTCCTTCAAGTGTGGGCTGCTTTTCTCAGTCAGTGACCATGGTGAGGGTGGGAGTCACAGCCTCATAATGTCCAGAGTCCCATTCTCCCACCTGCACCCTGGCCCTAATCATACTCTCCTTGCTCACTGCCTTTGTTCCAGCTATGCAAGCACAGAAAGCACTAAGTGGTGTCGGCTTTGTGTGCTCAGAGACACCCCCAACTCTGAATGTCTAATTCTGTCATGATTGACAGAGAGTTACAACAACCTTGGAGGTGGAGATTACTATAACATCAACATTATCATTTGGTGCAATGGACATGGTTCTAGCATTTCATATTTTAGGATCTATATTGCTGTCTGGCAGCTGCATCTGGGAGGT